TGATTTTAATGTCGTATAATACATGATTAGGAGCCACAAGGGGCCAGAATGCTAAATCTTTGACGCTTTATATCTCAAAAGTGAGAAATATTTTGATAAGTAATATTGAACAAAAGATGTTCAAAATAATGATCTGAACAATACGCAACCTTTGATTTTTCGCTATAGATCCCCTTTAAGGAGTTGAAGGGTTGGCCCCTAAATATTTCTCTTGCAAATAGCTCGAAAACTAAAAAGAATCTCGGAATAGTTGTTGAACAAAAAGTGTTCAAAATCCTGAGAGCTTTGAGATGAGATGAACAAAAAGGGGCTGGGCACTCAAATCAAGGGCTGAGAGGGGCCAAAAATCTTTAAACGATAACTCTTAAGCAGTCAATATTTTGTTATACATTACTGAAGCAAAAATGTTTATCTCAACAATCTACAACTATATATTATGATTTTAATGTCCTTTGTTGCATAATAAGGGGCCATCAGGGTCCAGAATGCTAAATCTTTGACACTTTATTTCTCAAAAGTGGGAAATATTTTGATAAGTAATATTGAACAAAAGATGTTCAAAATAATGATCTGAACAATACGCAACCTTTGATTTTTCGTTATAGATCCCCTTTAAGGAGTTGAAGGGTTGGCCCCTAAATATTTCTTTTGCAAATAACTCGAAAACTTAAAAGAATATCTCAATAGTTGTTGAACAAAAAGTGTTCAAAATCCTGAGAGCTTTAAGACGAAATAAACAAAAAGGGGCTGGGCACTCAAATTAAGGTTCCAGAGGGGCCAAAAACCTTAATCGATAACTCTTTAACAGTCAATATTTTGTTATACATTACTGAAGCAAAAATGTTTATCTCAACAATCTACAACTATATATTATGATTTGAATGTCGTATGGTGCATAATAAGGGGCCACAAGGGGCCAGAATGCTAAATCTTTGACACTTTATTTCTCAAAAGTGGGAAATATTTTGATAAGTAATATTGAACAAAAGATGTTCAAAATAATGTTCTGAACAATACGCAACCTTTAATTTTTTGCTATACGTCCCCTTTAAGGAGTTGAAGGGTTGGCCCCTAAATATTTCTTTTGCAAATAAGTCGAAAACTTAAAAGAATACCTCACTAGTTGTTGAACAAAAAGTGTTCAAAATCCTGAGAGCTTTAAGATGAGATGAACAAAAAGGGGCTGGGCACTCAAATCAAATGCTGAGAGGGGCCAAAAATCTTTAAACGATAACTCTTAAGCAGTCAATATTTTGTTATACATTACTGAAGCAAAAATGTTTATCTCAACAATCTACAACTATATATTATGATTTTAATGTCCTGTGGTGCATAATAAGGGGCCATCAGGGTCCAGAATGCTAAATCTTTGACACTTTATTTCTCAAAAGTGGGAAATATTTTGATAAGTAATATTGAACAAAAGATGTTCAAAATAATGATCTGAACAATACGCAACCTTTGATTTTTCGTTATAGATCCCCTTTAAGGAGTTGAAGGGTTGGCCCCTAAATATTTCTTTTGCAAATAACTCGAAAACTTAAAAGAATATCTCAATAGTTGTTGAACAAAAAGTGTTCAAAATCCTGAGAGCTTTAAGATGAAATAAACAAAAAGGGGCTGGGCACTCAAATTAAGGGTCCAGAGGGGCCAAAAACCTTAATCGATAACTCTTTAACAGTCAATATTTTGTTATACATTACTGAAGCAAAAATGTTTATCTCAACAATCTACAACTATATATTATGATTTTAATGTCCTATGGTGCATAATAAGGGGCCACAAGGGGCCAGAATGCTAAATCTTTGACACTTTATTTCTCAAAAGTGGGAAATATTTTGATAAGTAATATTGAACAAAAGATGTTCAAAATAATGTTCTGAACAATACGCAACCTTTAATTTTTTGCTATACGTCCCCTTTAAGGAGTTGAAGGGTTGGCCCCTAAATATTTCTTTTGCAAATAAGTCGAAAACTTAAAAGAATATCTCACTAGTTGTTGAACAAAAAGTGTTCAAAATCCTGAGAGCTTTAAGACGAAATAAACAAAAAGGGGCTGGGCACTCAAATTAAGGGTCCAGAGGGGCCAAAAACCTTAATCGATAACTCTTTAACAGTCAATATTTTGTTATACATTACTGAAGCAAAAATGTTTATCTCAACAATCTACAACTATATATTATGATTTTAATGTCCTGTGGTGCATAATAAGGGGCCATAAGGGGCCAGAATGCTTAATCTTTGAAGCTTTATATCTCAAAAGTGGGAAATATTTTGATAAGTAATATTGAACAAAAGATGTTCAAAATAATGTTCTGAACAATATGCAACCTTTCATTTTCCGCTTAACGTCCCCATTAGGGAGTTGAAGGGTTGGCCCCTAAATATTTCTTTTTCAAATAACTCGAAAACGAAAGAGAATCTCTGAATAGTTGTTGAACAAAAAGTGTTCAAAATCCTGAAGGCCTTAAGATTATATGAAGAAAAAGGGGCTGATCCCTAATATTAGGGGCCGTGACGGGCCAAAAGTCGAATTTTTAAGTCTTAATGTTCAATGTCTGTTTACAGATTATGGAGGAAAAATCGTTCTTCTTCACAATCTTTATCATTATTTTAGAATGAAAATCTCAATCAAAATCTTATCTCATCTTATCAAGAATCGACGGAAGACCCACTCTTGCTCGCAACGAGATCGTATCTAGTTATTATTCTTTTTTCTCCTTACCGTTTTTGTGCAGAAGATTTCTCGGAGATGGTTCGACCGATTTTGCTCAAATTTTCAGAGATGATGTGTTTTTATCTGAAGTTTGTATCTGTACTTCAATTTTGAAAAAATCACTTCCGGTCGGAAATTATCGCCCTTTGATCGAAATTTTGATGACCTTCATGTCTGTGATGGAACTCAAAAACGACTCAAGCTAGAAAGCTGAAATTTTCAGGGATGATAGAGGACATGTTGCCATATTGCACCTGGGTCAGGATATTTCCTGGAAGTGCCTAGTATGGAAGCTCGGTAGGGGTCGAAATTTAGGACACGAATCAATACTGAATTTTTGGGACATTTTGCATTGTATCTTTTAAAGCAAAATCATTTTCTTAAAACATATTGAATATAATTTGTGTAGAATAAAAAGATCTTTCATATGATATCAAGAAAAAAGTGCTGACTTATCACGTTAGGGAGCAAAAGGGGCCAGAAATCTTTTTCCGATAACTCTTTAACAGTCAATATTTTGTTATACATTACTGAAGCAAAATAAATTATCTCAACAATTTACAACTGTATGTTGTGATTTAAATGTCGTATGTTACATAATTAGGGGCCACTAAGGGCCAGAAGGCTAAATCTTTGATGCTTTATATCTCGAAAGTGAGAAATATTTTGACAAGTTATATTGAACAAAAGATGTTCAAAATCATGTTCTGAACAATATGCAACCTTTCATTTTTCGCTAAACGTCCCAATTAGGGACTTAAGGGGTTGGCCCCTTAATATTTCTTTTGCAAATAACTCAAAAACGAAAAAGATTCTCTGAATAGTTGTTGAAGAAAAAGTGTTCAAAATCTTAAGAGCTTCAAGATGAGATCAAGAAAAAGGGACTGGGCACTCAAATAAGGGGCCAAAAGGGGCTAAAAGTCTTTTTTCGATAACTCTTTAACAGTCAATATTTTGTTATACATTACTGAAGCAAAAATGTTTATCACAACAATCTACAACTGTATATTTTGATTTGAATGTCGTATATTACATAATTAAGGGCCACGACGTGCCAGAAGGCTAAACTTTCAAGCTTTATATCTCGAAAGTGAGAAATATTTTGACAAGTTATATTGAACAAAAGATGTTCAAAATCATGTTTTGAACAATATGCAAGCTTTCAATTTTCGCTAAATGTCCCAGTTAGGGAGTTAAGGGGTTAGCCCCTAAATATTTCTTTTGCGAATAACTCGAAAACGAAAAAGAATCTCTGAATAGTTGTTGAACAAAAAGTGTTCAAAATCTTAAGCGCTTCAAGATGAGATTAAGAAAAAGGGGCTGGGCACTCCAATTAGGGGCCAAAAAGGGTTAAAAGTATTTTTTCGATAACTCTTTTACAGTCAATATTTTGTTATACATTACTGAAGCAAAAATGTTTATCTCAACAATCTACAACTCTATATTATGATTTAAATGTCGTATATTACATAATTAGGGGCCACGAGGGGCCAGAAGGCTAAAACTTTGAAGCTTTATATCTCGAAAGTGAGAAATATTTAGACAAGTAATATTGAACAAAAGATGTTCAAAATCATGTTCTGAACAATATGCAAGCTTTCATTTTTCGATAAACGTCCCCATTAGGGAGCTGAAGGGTTGGCCCCTAAAAATTTCTTTGGCAAATAACTCGAAAACGAAAAAGAATCTCTGAATAGTTGTTAAAAAAACTGTTCAAAATCTTAAGAGCTTTGAGATAAGATCAAGAAAAAGGAGCTGGGCATTCAAATTAGGGGCCAAAAGGGGCTAAAAGTATTTTTTCGATACTCTTTAGAAGTCAATATTTTGTTATGCATTACTAAAGCAAAAATGTTTATCTCAACAATCTACAACTGAATGTTGTGATTTGAATGTCGTATATTACATAATTAGGGGCCACGAGGGACATGAAGGCCATATCTTTGACGCTTTGTATCTCGAAAGTGAGAAATATTTTGACAAGTAATAATGAACAAAAGATGTTCACAATCATGTTCTGAACAATATGCAACCTTTCATTTTTCGCTAAACATCCCCATTAGGGAGTTGAAGGGTTGGACCCTAAATATTTCTTTTGCAAATAACTCGAAAACGATAAAGAATCTCTGAATAGTTTTTGAACAAAAAGTGTTCATAATTCTGAGAGCTTTCAAATGATATGAAGTAAAAAGGGCTGATCCCTAATAGGGTCGGAAACTCTCGTCACGTGACTCGCGAGATATTACGATAATTTTCACTTCCGGGCAGCTCTCAGATTTTGTGTGTATTGAATTAAGCATGTTTCTGGTTTATACAAAGCTTTCGAGAAAAAGTTAAGTAGTTTTACAAAGCAGAAGGGTTCTCCGACTTACGATGGATGGGTGAATTGCGTGCCAGAAAAGCTTGGGTGCGAGTGTCAACGAGGAAAATTTCGATCAAAGTACAGGTAAGTAAGTCAGATAATGTCATCTGTTTCGTGTTTATTTTGAGCGAAACAGAAGTGTTTTATGTCATACCCGAATGAAAAAGTTTCCCAATCATCTATTCAATTAATCTGTTAACAAATTTTTCTTAAATCATAGGACGATAATGTTGTTATCAGCTGATTACAGAGCCAGAGGAGGCCGAGGAGTTTTCAGTGTCCGATGGGTACAAACGTTATATTGTGGCTGCATCACTCTTGTTTGGGTAAATCAGTAAATGATTTATTAAAATTACGTGTTTTCAGTACGTTTTACCTGTTGTATGTCAGTGGATCGAATATTGAATATTTGTGGACATTTATTTCCCAAGGACTAGATGTTTACATATTTTGCTAGTTCTCTGTATTCAACATTTAACAGCTGTTTAACAAAATTCATATCACTACAATAACAATTTTTACACAACCAAATTTCTTAATTAAAAAGCATATGTTCCCTGAACATGGTGTAGGCAATTGGTTTAATTTCTGTCTGTTCAATTTATTCCTTGATCTTACTTACATATAATAACATTAAAGCTTATTTTATAGCAAAAGTACAAGAGAACATGGTTGAGGAACACAGCTGAAAGATGCGGTTGCTTTAAGCAGTACCTAAGACTTTGATCAACATTCTTCAAAATGCAAATCAAATACAGGTATGAAATTGATGCAACAAAATAAGTTCTCGGGCATAGGACAATATTCACCTTAGTTTGGACTTTCAGTAGGGTGTGGCATTCTCTGGGGGTAATGGGTTCGTTCGCCCGATCTACCTGTTCGCAAGAGTTCATTAGCACAGAATCCTTTCGCCCGAAATATTTTTCGCCAAACATCTGTTCGCCCTAATATGAGGTTCGCCCAATGCTTTATACTTGTATATATATGAATTAAAAATTAACATATAAATTTATCATTTTTTTCTATTTAAATTGTATTTCCCTTACGAACTTGATTTTTTTTTCTCAAATTGATCGAAGAGCAATAAATTAATTTTTGATTTAAATTCTATTGTAAGTCTTTTTTAATAACTAAGTGTTTGTACTTTAGTTAATTAGATGATTAATATCAATGTGAATTAGGGGGATACATCAGTATTATTTCTATGATTTGTCTGACGGACACAGTGATGGTCTGTTTTATTTTTAATGTACAAAAATTAGGAAAGAAATTCATTAGATTTTATTTTACATTAAATTACGGCGAACGGACCTGTGCGAACAAGTTTTAGGGCGAGCAGAATCTGGGGGAACAAGAAATCAGGCGAACAAACATGGATCCTTCTCTGGGCTACATAATGGGGAATACAATTAGGTAACGTCAAGAATGCCATGTCTTACTGAAAGTACACACTAAGGTGGTAAGTTCTATACATGGATAAAATTTATTCTCATACACGGTATATCATACATGGTATATCATAGAATGACAAAAAGGTCTGTTATTGTCCATTGATGCTTTACCCTCAACCACGGTTTTATACATTTACCCATAATTCATCTGTACTGTCATCTCACCTCACTAGTATTAAAATTGGGTGAAACAGCCTTGTATACAGATTAAATGTATAATTTTATATTACATAATGGAGTTTTTTAAAATAACAAATATAATAGTCAATATTGGCCATTATCTAAAATATTCTTATTTGATGTACTCCAACCCACTTTTTATTAAGGTTGGTTGGTAGGTAATTTTTTGGCATTACAGTATTGAACTTGCATACTGTGCATACAACTGTGCAAAATAACCAAAATTCAAATGACATGTAACAGAAACTTGCTTACGCATTACAGGTTATTGTCTGCACATCTTGCAATGGATGTTTTGATCGAGAACTTATCGAGCAAAAAGACCCGCCATGTACCTATCCTGTCATGACATTATTAAAGGTAAGTAGCCCTATCTGCAAAGGATCGAACAAAGTAAAACCTTCATCTTCAGAAGATGTACATTTAATAAGGCCATCCTTAAAAAATTGCTTGTTCGGAATTGCCACCTGAAGTGTTTCAGACATAGGAGGGAGGGAGGGAAATTATTTTCTTTAAATGAAGATAATTTTAAATTTTTGATAAAAATCTCAGTAAACAGTAAATACATTTTCTGACTTTAAAAAAAGTATCTATCATCAACAAAAACCCTAATTTTACATAGAATGGAAACTATATTTCAGAGTTTTGCATGATGCATGTAAAACATGTATTTGGCAAAAAAATTGACTAAATAAAAAAAAACCTTCCTTATTTTGGTCAATAAAATTTTTTCAGGAGGGGGCATTTCAGTGAGGCGGGAGGCAATTCCAAAAAAACTATAATTTTATTTTGGCCTAATGATTGGTAATTTATTTGAATTCCTGCAGAATACTATGTTACATACCATGAAAACAAAAAAATATATATATTAAATCAAAATCGCTTTTATTTCAGTACTCTGTGACAGTGGAAAGATGTAATTTAAAACATGACATGGCTCTATCTTACTGCATCAGATATCGATCCAAGTTTACTTTTAAACCGAAGGAAAACAGTCAAGCATCATTTGGAATGGAGCTACGTATATCACAGCCTTCACAATATGCCTGCTTACATAACCAAGAAAGCACAGTGAACAGTTGTACCTATGATGTCAGACGAGATCCTGAGAATACTTTCAGTGCACTCATTGCTACCTGCAAAGAAATGAAAATTTTAAGTGACTTGTATCAACCATTTTGTATTTCATCTGGCTTGTACGAAAAATACTCATTATCCTTTAGCTTACTTCAAACAAAATTTCATTTGTATCATGTAGATGAAAAATGTTGAAAAAGTTTGTTTGTCCCATAGGAAATTCTCTTCCAATTTATAATGAATTATCAGTGTAGTCAGGGGTTGATTGGTGTCAGTTCCATCGGCAAAGTACCGGGTATTTGTAGCGGAATGGTGCAAACTGCAAAATGAAACACTTTTCATGAGAACCTGGAAATGAAACACTTTTCATGAGAACCTGGAAAAACATCAGGTGGAAGTGATCAACTACATGTGTACAAGAAAAAAGTGAATACTTCCTTGAATACTAGCATTAACAATGATGCACTAAAACTCGGTTATAGAAAAGTCAATGAGGCCTTTGAAATTACTTTGCTAAATTCATAATTCGTTATAACCGTTAAAAGATTTTTCAAATTTATATAGCATGAGATACAAGATAACTTAAGATATATCTGTGAATACGCAGTACAATGTAACTACCAAATATACAAATTAAACCATGACTTCCTTAAATTTGTTCTGAAGTGTATTTATAGTGTATTAAAATAAGCATGCAATATTGGTCTTGTCATACTTAAGAATTTTTAAGAAAATGTTATTCATTGAAACAAATGTGCAAACATAGTTAGTAAATTTTATGCAGAACTTAAATGTTGAATGCATTTCGGTCGTTGGGATGAATGTAAGGCAAACAGAGGAGATAAGTACTTGTTCACAAATATCATTTACAGATTTATTTTTATTTAGAAAATATATGACAAATTAAACAAGCATTTAAGGTATATGGTCCCTTGATTTGCCATGTTATACCCGGTATGAGCTTTTGTGAACTTGATACTGTACTAGTAAGTTTTAAATATGAAGTAAAGAAAAGTGCAGCCCAAAAATTTACTCTGTACCTGATTTAAAATGAATCCATCATTAATTACTTGGAAGTTTACATATAAGAAAACTATTTAGATAAACCCCATTAACAGATAATGGTACATGGATGACACATTCAGTCGAAGCATTGTCCTTTTCTAGTACCTTCTGGAGCCCTGTAACATAAATTGAAAATATTTTGAATAGATAAAATGTTTTATTGTTGAATGATGAATACCCTATGGTCCCAGTAAGGGCCTGTTAGGAGACAGTTAAATTGCTGTACTACATGTACAACAAATGAGAAAATTTTACATCTAATCAAAGGCGGACCCAGTACAAGCACGACAGGCATGAGCCCCCTACCCCTTTGAATTTTTTAAATGAAATTTTACTACTGCACCCCCAACCCCCATTATGAAATTCCTAGTTCCGCTGCTGCTAATTCCTATATTTTAGGGGGGAAAATGCATTCTCATAATTTTAAGAGCATTTTGGAAGGGGTCATGAAGATTTACAGTTACATGTAGTATTGAAAATATACATGCCTGTGTACATGCAAGGAGTAATGATTGACATTCTTTTATCTGGATCAACAGGATCAAGTACATACATGTAATTACATAGCTCATAAGTACTTTATATCTACTGTAATGATATATGCATAATATTATTAATAAATTAAATAACGAATGTTATTTCTATCAGGATCATGTTTAAATGTAGTTATCAACCCTTTTCCCCGTGATCGATGCATTTGTTGCATGTATATAATTATGTACATGTATTTTCCATTTGTTTTTAATGACTTTGCACACTATATCACAACCTGATTCTATTGTCCCGTGAGCTAAATCAATGGAATAAAGTTATGGAACCAATCTTTGGGAAACTTTTTGGAATGAAAACACGCTATTTCAGCTTAATAACTATTTTTATTTTCCTTTTAGGCTTTAAAATATTCGCTTATCGTGCCCCATTCGGGATACCTTGTATGTATGTCACTTTATAAAACAAAAAAGCAATTAAAAGCTGTTTACCTGTTTAACTCAATCCACTTTCCCCTCTTCTTTTCAATAATCGGGCAACAAACGACATGACAGACTTTCCGAGTCCGCTACGAGGCTTAAAACCTAATGCGAAGCGGTAATCCATTGTCTCCAAGAACGCTTAGCTGCCCGGAAGTTATAAAACGAAAGTGAAAGTAAACGAGACTTTCAGACCCTATTTTAGGGGCCGTGGGGGGCCAAAAGTCGATTTTAGGAGTCTTTATTCTTTATTGTCTTTTTACAGATTATGAAAAATCATTATTTTAGAATGAAAATCTCAATCAAAATCTGATCTCATTTCATCAAGAATCGAACGGAAGACCCACTCGTTGCTCGCAAGGAGATCGTATCTAGTTAAGGTCTTCCGTCTTCAGCGGAAGACCTTCTTGTTATTCTTAGGTTTCTTTTCCACTATTTTTATTGTTTTTTTTTCTTACCGATTTTGTGTACACGATTTCTCAGAAACGGCTTGCTCGATTTTCATGAAACTTTCAGGACTGATAAAGCATCAAACAAAGCTGATATATAATTTTTTGTTTTGATGACGTCACTTCCGGTTTTGAGATTTTTGCGATTTAGTGATTTTCAGAGGGTCAGATTGTCCGCGAGTTTTCTCAAAAACGGCTTAAGATAGAAACTTGAGTTTTTTGAGCAGTGATAGAGCAATGTCTGTAGATGTGACATACGCATTTCATTTCTACCGGAACTGCTGCACGCCGACGCTCGCTATGGTCCAAAAATGGGCATGTCGAGAATTTTAAAATTTCTAACACCTTTTCTTCGATATCTTTTCACATACAAATATTTTGTTAAGACATATAGAACAAAAGAAGTGTTGAATTACATGATCTTTCAAATGATATCTCGTAAAAAGGGCTGGCCCCTAAAATAAAGGGCCTAGAGGGGCCGAAAGTTTTTCATTTATATCTCAAAAAGTATTGAGAATTTGTTATACGTCTAAAAAGCAAAGTTGTTCAAAATGTCAAGATTAATCTGCTGAAGTCGTCAAAATGCGTCCGGCGACGTCACTTCCGGTCATACCGGAAGTCGTCAGAATATGCATATTTTTGCCGTTCTTGACATATTTTTGGGTAACATATGTATCTGGAAGCATACAACTTCATTTTCTGTCCGTTGACATCACTTTCGGAGTGGAAGTGACCGGAAGTAGCCAAAAATAGTTTATTTTTGAAGGTTTAAATACAAAATTAAAATTATAAAGTCAATAGAGACCACTTAGCTCATTTGCTTTCATTTGTTGACGTCACTTCCGGTCAAAACAGGACGGAAGACCTACTCGTTGCTTTGCAACGAGCTTTGCTCTAGTTATTATTATTTTTCTTGCTGGGAAAATTTTGTCCACGAGTGATCTTGTAAACTACACATCCGACTAAGGTAAAATGTTTTTAGGGTCAGTAGACATGTTATGTAGATTTGCCGAGCAAAGGTCATTTTGCGCGCACCTGCTTGCAAGAGCCAGAACGTTCAACACGTTAAATGACCAATATAATGTATATTGTATTAACTTTTCTATTTTTTGATGAAATGCTTTGAAACGCATAATGTAAGGATATATTAATACTATAGACAAGATGACATGGTCAAAATAGCAAGATCTCACGCGCATGCACGTGCGCTTTGCTCTGATTGGCTGAAACTAAAGTCTCAATATCTTTCTTGTTTTTTGACGAAATCCTTTGAAATTTTGAACATAACCATGCATAAGGATATCCTACAACTTTATATATAGCAATCATCATGAAAACACGTGCATGCACGTGCGTTGCAATCTGATTGGCTTTAAATAGGTATAACTCCGTTGATTGTCAACCAAACAGAATGGAATTTGGAACATAGATATATATATATAATGGACGTCTACAAGAAGGTATGGTCACTATGCGCATGCATACACGTGCCTGTGCGTGCGCAGAAATCTGATTGGCTGAAACTTTAAACAGCTATAACTCCCTTGGTTTTCAACCAAACGGGGTGGGATTTAAAACATAGATAGATGTAATGGTCACCATGCTCATGTATGCACGTGCGAGCACGTGAAATGTGTAAAATCAAAAATACACTTGAATGAGCGTTTTTTTAAATACTTTTGGAATAAATATTTATATATTTAGCATATTAAAATACATAGATTGTGTAGACAATATGATTTGGTCATTACGCACATGCATTCACATGCGCAACTATGCATTGAATGAACATGGTACACTCTTGGGTAAACGTTCTTAAAGTCTCAAATGCATAGAGTTTGTCTTATTTAATTACGCTCAGAGGGAATATGACTATAAAAAGGAGTTGCATGGGGAGCGTTTGGGGAACATCTGTAACGGTCCCCGTACAATTAGCACTTGTTTGTTATAGGGTTCCTCAGGTTTGGGGGTCTTTGCCCCTGGATATAACCCCTGGATCCCAACCAGAGCTTTGACCTGGACGCACAGGGGGCTTTAATGCAACCCCCATACTTCCCAGTCTTCTACTTTACCCCCCCCCCCCGTTCCTACATTGCTGGATAAGTATTTAGACAGTTTATTAACTGCTAGTACAATTATACATATTTAACGGTAGTTAACTATCGCCAGTTTACAAATGCTAATCTAAGTTTATCTGTCTGTACGAAAACGTTAACAATAGATTTTGTTGATACACAGATTCACGTCTCTAACTATAATTTATTATTGTGAACTATAGTTAAGAGTTAATCATAGTTTCATAAATCGTGAAAGTATATTTATCAGTTCCTGAACTATAGTTTGGAGCTGTAAACCACAGCTTACAATTTTTAAAACTGCATTTATCTCAGATAATTTATGTTTTGTAACCGCAAATGATTGTTTTCAATTTTAAGTATAGTTTACGGTTCTGAGACATTATCACGTTAACTATGGTTTACAGGTGTAAAATATAGATTAACGTTCTCGACATCTTCTAAACTATAATACACAGTCCGTAAACTGTGAAACTATGTTTATCTTTTTGGGGATTTGGCTTTCCATATGTAGGACAGTGTCTTAATAACGAAAGATCATCCTTTAACATGGGCAGATCCAACAATTTATTGAAAGGGGGAGGGGTTCCAGGTCGGTGTACGGGGCACTCATGCATAGAACCACACCTTGGTCACCTCAAGTCCGTAGCTTCATTTATAAGAAAGGGGGGAGGGGGCTTAAAAACATTTGACAAACAAATAAAAAACAATCAAACGTAAACAACTTGAAAAAAACCTACATGTATGCACCACACTTTAAAATTAGGAGGGGGTAGAGGGGACGTTTTCTGTTTGGTACATTACTTTCAATCTTGAATCTGTGTATTTTCCAGCAACAAAGATGTGAAGGGAGCTATTATCTCTCTCTCTCTCTCTCTCTCTCTCCCTCTCTCTGTATAAAATAAAGGGGGTTCAAACCCCCGGTCCCCCCATCTGGTCTGCCAATGCTTTAATATAGTATGGATAATTTTCAAAACCATTCAATAAAAACACACTGAACATACGAGGGTCATTCAAAAAGTTCGTAGACTTTTGTCCAAACTTTTTTTATTTAACGTCATATTATATCCAAATTTGGTACAAATATTTTAACAACAGATTCAAATAATTTGAGTAAAAAAATTGTATCTTCATATTTCTTAAAATTACCAAGGATTTAGAACAGCAAAAATGGGGTCACGGAGCACCGTCAAAATTGAGTAATTTTCTAATTTTCACTTTATAGTATTTACAGCTATATCTCTAATAAATGGAGCTGAAACGAAATAAAATTTACATGTTTAAATAAATTATTGCTGTATTAATTAAATTGAAATCAGGTTATGTAATATCTCGCTCCATTTAAAAGATAGCAGCTTCTTAATACATATGGACATAATTAAAAAAGGCAGAAAACCATGACGTTGGAGGACGTCACGGAGCAGCAAGTAGCAATAAAATTAGACTTTACATTAGGGAAACTTCTTCTACTAGCTTAAAAAATCCTTATAAACCAGGATTTGTATGAAAAATAATCTGTGTATTTGTATTAAATTGAAAACACGATTTTTAAATGGTAGCGAGTTTGAATCGGACGATGGATTGTCTGCAAAGAAACATGTTAAAGTTAAAAAAAAATTGTCACAAGAGTTAAGAACGTCATTGAACGTGATGTGTGATTCAATGTTGCAGAAATAATAGAGTTGCATGGTATATTAAAGACTTTGAAAACAATAACATTCAAATTCAAGCTATATTGTACAATTGTTGGCAAACTAGGTGTTAAGTGTTGTGGATATGTGTTTTGAATGGAGAAGACGCTACAAACCGTGTTTGAAATAAAAAAAAATACTATACTTTTGACAAACTTTCTCAGCGTTGTTTTTGACGTTACAATATTGGTTAACCGTGCTCCGTGGTAGCAAAACATGTTGCTTTAAATTATGGCTAACGTGAGTTCTATATAATCAAATGGAATGAAACTTCACACTTTGACAAAATAAATGTTTATGTTTACGAAAATGTGTTGATTTATAATCTTGTAATAATCATATGACGATGAGAAGTATTGTCTACGTATTTTTTGAATGACCCTCGTATGCATATATTTATATCATACTGGTACATGAAACATCAAAGCGATTATACTTATCAAATTGACCAATAATTTTGATTTTTCTATACGTGTGTTTCGTTCATACGTTTCGTCAGTTACGCAAGTAATCAGATAGTAAACAAGTTTACCATTCGTAAAACAGATATTCGTTCGTTACGTGTTTGGTGTTCTTTAGTAGGCCTTAAAGTGCTAATTTGATCATAATTGAAAAATTGTTTCAATACTTACACTTTTTACTAACACGTTCATGAATCCGATTATCCGACACGGTACAGTGTGAGATGATGTCTAGTTGAAGTTTGTCTATGAAGAGGTCGTACATTTTTTCCGGTCTTTCCGGTACATACAAACATCTCTCTTTCTCGCTTCTCCTATAATCCCAGGACCGGCAGTACTCTGATATTACGTCACGCGACGCCATGGTCAAGAAAAACTCCAGATCACTGTCCTCCACCAGACACTCCGTAACAAAGGCGTACATGACATCATGTCTGATGTCGTCTGATATAAATGTTATCACACCGTCACGCGTTTCTGCAATTCCAGAAGGAAGTTCTACTAAGTCTTTATAAGTAATATCTGGGAAATATCTTTCCCTGATTGCTTCCTTTGTACTGTTGTTTGATTGTTCATTGACTCTCAGTTGATAGTTTTCAGCTAACAGTAAGCAGTATAGTAGACATCTGACTTCCTCTGAAGATATTTGTTGTTTTCCTAAAAAAAATTTATTAGCAAATATTTATTTACAACTTTGTCAAAACTTTTAACTCCAAGCCATTAGGGATGAGTATCGCTAAAAAAAATATGACTTTCTGTCATTGTAATTTGAAAGTTTGAACAAATGAATGAATAATTTAAGGACGTTATCTTATGTATAGTATGTACCTAAATACCAATATTTAGGTCTACAAATCAAGATATGTATTGTGCAACAAAATATTGCGATATACCGGTATACCGATTAAATCTTACATCCCTACTAGTCATCATAGTTTGTCTTAATATTTTTTTTCAATATAAATGCTTCTAGGCTGAATCTCTCATTTGAACTAATAACTGTCACATTAAAATCCCCATATCATAATTTTGTTACAGTATTTTAATTCTATGTAAATATCCCGTGTAGAACGCTTTTGTTTTTAGACGTGTTTTCACTGTAAATTTCCTGTAGGGAACCTCAGTTCACTGGACCCGCCAGTCCGTGCAAGTTAGTTTTGGACACGGCAGTCCAGAGAAGAGGACGTCTTTATCCCTCTCATGTATAATATTGCTTTGAGTATCCAGCATTGCTATTCTATATATACCGAGTATAACTTGCAGAGCTTGCTCTGACATTTCAATGTTTTTTATGGTCCACTTTTTCTGAGGTAAAGTCCTTCATATTTTTATTTTAGTCATTTACAATGTAAATTATCATTCATTTGTCCTAAAACATCTAGTAACCGTATTTCTCATCATTTCTAGCATGTAGGTTTAGTTTAATTTGATTTGTATTTTACATTTAGTACCACGTATTTGACTATTTAATGTACGTTGTACAATTGCTGTCATAATAGTTTGTCCGAAATATTGCATTTGTGTAGGAGTTGTACGTATAATTATAACTTCCCACGAGTATGTGTAATTCAGTCTTATGTTAGACGTTTTCATTATGATCGTATAATGAGTGTAAAGTATTTATGTGTAAAGCCCCTAAAGCTTGTAAGGAAAACTTATGTTTACGAGCAGGTTCCAGCGTCAAAGTACGACAGTGAGGTTGCCCAGTGTGCCCTTGGAGTGTAGTGTATATAGGCCGCCACCCTTGGAACGTAAAGTCCATCCTCCAGCCTGTGATTTGAGGTGGAAAGCATGAGGCGCAACTGGACACCAGGACAACAGCAGCAATCACAATGATTTTGTTAATTTTTTCTCAAAAATTATTAAATATGTAAATGGTATGAAATGAAACAAGAGTTTGAGTTATATTTAATATTTGTAAGAAAAAGTAAATCCGCTCGACTATCTGTGACAAATTGGTGTCAGAAGTGGGATAATATTCCCTAATTAAGAATATTAATCTTTTAATTTGTTTTATGTAAAAAACATTTTGTGAAGTTTTTTTGTATGAAAAAATACTAACATTTTTCTCCTCTTGTTGAAAAATTTTCTTTGTTTGGTCATTGTTTTCTACATACTGTTTTATTTTATATTTTCGAATTTTCTGTTGTGTTTGTTCTGTGTTGTAGAGAATCAGCCGGATTCTGGTTGTTTGGGACCTCGGAATGTGCAACAGGAGTTGGGCCTGTCTCAGTGAGTGGACCGTTCTGGTAAAGACAGAGTAAGCAATGGTGAAAGTCGCGATGTAAAGATTATCGCGATGCGGTTAGTACAGTCCCTGAAACGTTCTACTTTCCCACCTGAACGGTGAGCAAACGCTGAACGAACGGTGAACGAACGCAGAGCGAACGGTGAGTGAACGATGTGTGAACGCTGAACGCAACTTGGTGAACGATGTGTGAACGGAGAACGGTGAGTGAACGCAGAACGCGAACGGAGCGCAAACGGTGAACGGTGAACGAACGGTGAACGCAAGATGAACGATTTATTCGGAATGCCTTAGATTTTTTCCTTGTATTTAAACTATTCCGTTGTATTCTAATGTTAGATGCTAAAATATAAATAAAGAATAAATAAATAAGTGAATTATTAATTTAAACAATTTTTTTTCTGCACATACGTATGAAGTTTTAAATCAATATGTTAATAACACGATTTTTATTGCCGTAAAAAAATGTGTAATTGTTACCGAACACGTGTAGTATAAAAATTGAAATTAATTTACTAATTAAATAAATCTGCTTAGTCTTTTAACTAATAAAATAATGTAAACTTCAGAAGAGAATACTACTACTTATAAAATGAATTTATTACATTGTACCACAGTTGTAAAAACTATATACTATATATTTCGATGCCACGGCGATTCCGTGTAAATTAACAATTTTTTTTTATTAATTTACAAAGGTCTGTTGACGTATTGCATAAATACACTCGTATTTAAAATTTTAATGCAATAATATATGATATTTATTTGTTTTTTACTTTGTATGATTTTTTTAGCAGAGTTTTACATGTAAATGCATATATCTGAAGACATTTCCCGACTGTGATTATACTCGGAGAAGATAATGGAAAGAGGCATTCTAATCATTTGTAATATATTAGATTTTCAGAACTAAATAAATAATATATTGTTGTCATAGTTTTATTTAACAGGACAAATGTAAGAGCAAGAGAGACTTGAGAGATAGAGAGAGAGAGCGCGAGAGAGATTTAAGCCCCATCGATTCTCATATATCTGTTGCATCGAATAAAAATTCATATCATTTTTTTTCTTCTAATATTCCCGGTGTCGCATAATATTTGGTCCGCCTCGTTTAAAGGTCCGGCCGGACCTAATACGATAACATATTTGGTCCGCCTTTTATAAGAGAAGGTCCGGCCCGTATAAGAAAAGGTCCCCCTACGTTTTAAGGTCCGGGTGGTGCAAAATATTTTAATCTTGACTTTAACATATGAAATTAAAGAAAGTTAGTTTATACTATACGATAGGAAGGATTTACCCTGTTGTGTTTTATGTTTTGTACAACATTACATGTATCTCTAGACAATAATCTACTCGTTTAGTGTGCTTTAAGGTCAAGATCTAGTAAATAACTTTAGACTCATTTTTGGTGCTAGATCCATTATGACGTCATAATCAATTTCAACTTTCTTTTTCCCGTACTTTACGGCTTCAGCAGAATTATGTAGAAAATAGGGTATTTTCATGACATTCAATTTAAAATCATATGAAAAGTAAACTGGATACCTATATTAAATTTGATATTGATTTAAAGAAGAGGCCATGAACATACTAATTATCGTTTTCTAAGAGACTGTAGGCAATCTGTATACATTTCCGTTGTCGAATATGAAAAAAACTCCCATATTCATGACTGGTTTTCTTAATTTTTCATTGAAAATGACAGTTTAAAATACAGTTTTTTTATCTTGTTTACCTACAAATTATACCCCGAAACACCTTATTTGACCAAGCTAAAGTTGTAAAGCATCAATAAAGGAATTTATCTCTCAAGTTTGATAAATCTGTAGGCACCTTTCATTTACTAGATCTTGACCTTAAACAGTGAAGTTTAGGGCAATGGTTTCTTGAAAAATAATGCCACAACTATTATGTTAGTGTTTGTTTTTCCTTTTTGCTTTGTGTAAATTAGTATACGATTAAAGGTGTGAAATCTGTCGGTGTGTATGGCTAATAAAACAATGGGGGTGTGACGTATTTGTTTACCTGACAGGTACCCACAGGTAGAGCCCGCGACAGATGGCGATGTCATTGAATGGTCAGTGAACCTTATGGTCATGTGTTAGCTTTACATATCAATAGATTTAAATTTCTTTAATTAATAATTTATGCTAAGAAACAAATATGTCTATGCGAACACTTCAAAACTGCGACATTTGTAATAGTTATAATCATATATACTTAGTCTTTATTTGAATATTTAAAGCTAAATATGGCGTATCTGAGCTAAAAATTGAAAATACTAGATTAAGCGTATATCTACACGTGAAAATGATATTTGTATTCAAATTAAAAATTTTATCAATATTGAACATAAATATACCCACGTTTCTATTAATTAAATTCAAACTAATTGAATTTAAACTTTGTGTGATATTAATTTTACCTTCCGAGTCGATAAGAATCGGTCATTGTTTTAAATCTCTGATTTCTATATATACAAAGAATTAAATACAAAGAAATATACAAAGATTAATTTAATTTTCGGTAATAGAACATTTTAAAGAATAAATTATAGACTGTTTAGTTAATCAAATGTCTTGGACATAAGTTTTAGCGAACATTAAATGTGATTAAAAAATTACCTGCTCATTATTTTTAGTGTGTTAACTAGACTTGGTGCTTCACGTACAGATGTATTATACGGAATTTTTTTTATAAAAATGTGTTGTTTAATAATTTTTTCAAAATTCCTTTTCTACGTGCATGTACCCGGTAAACATTAAATTGCCGGAGAGGTAACTATCAAAAATTCCTGAAATCAAAAGAAACAATAAAATGTCGTGAAAAAAGAGTAATTGTCGGAAATAAAATAAAGAAAATGAAATGCAGCGGTCCTATCTTTATAAAAGAAAGATCTTTTTTATATTGGGTTTATTTTCGTAGCTTAAAAACACGAGAAAGAGACAGGGCGGACCCTAAAACGCAGTTATCAGAAAAGGTCCGCCCTCTGTTTTTCAGATATCTTCATGTTTTATAGGGAAATATTTGGACAGGGTTTACTTTCGTAGCTGAAAAGACTAGAAAAAGGACAGGGCGGGCCTTAAAACGCAGTTATCATAATAGGTCCGCCCTCTGTATAACTTCATATTTTTAAGGAAAATATTTGGACAGGGTTTATTTCAGTAGCTTAAACATTTAGAGAAAGGGACAGGGCGGACCTCAAAACACAGTTATCAGAAAAGGTCCGCCCTCTGTATTTTAGATAACTTCATATTTTTAAGGACCGTTCACGGTAGCTCAGTCGGTAGAGCGCTCGCTCCGTGATCGGGAGGTCGTGAGTTCGCATCTCGGCCGCGACCGACCTAGTCGTTAAAATGGGTAGCAACTGTTCCTTCGCCATGCGCTCGGCACTTTGAAGTGAAAGTTG